GACATCTGCATATGATCGGAACTCCACGCAGCTCCTGCGCTACTCCACATTGGAAATGAATGACTGAATGTCGTTTGTCGGAGATAGTGGAAAGCTGGCTTGAAATGCGGTGGAAACGTCAGAATGACGAGGATCGTTTTCATTTTAAACATAAACGCACCAGTGTAAATGTAGCCTTACATCAAATGGGGCTGGGACGCATTCGCACTACAGCCTCACGTGTGCGCCACATCTCTGAGTGTAACCGGTGTAAACTAGTAGGTGTGTTCGACTTGACGCGGGCTGATTGTGCAGACCGATCGGTGTATTACAGTACCACGAGAACTAAAGAGAGCAGACTGCTCCGTGCACTTCGAATCGCTCTCGCTGATGTCAAACACTGAACTGACCTCTTCTAGTCGAACACACCGGCTAGTGCTGCAGGCTTATTGGTTCACTGACGCTGATGAGATTAACCCCTTAGGTATCGAAATTTGGTACCGAATGACGAGACGTTTTTCGATATTCGATGGTATCGAGGCATTTCGATAGAAGTCCCTAGATGGAAGTTGGTCTTGCGTGCCTAAAATAGCTGCCTGGAGGTGTCACAAATACGACTGCAGAGTGAACTGACTTTCTTAAAAGAAACTTTAACATACAGAAACTAAACAGACAGACTACAGTAGACATGATTTCTAAAAAAGAAATGCTAAATTCAGTGGGCTAGTCCATAGTTTAATAACAAATTTAAATGGTTCAATATTTACAGATGGCACTGAAGGTTGGCGTTGTCCTGCGTGCCAGCATGTGGCTCTCAAAGCCCCTAATGCATACACCTGCTTCTGTGGTAAGATTATTTTGGTTTCTGCATCTTACATGATATCTTTGTTTCTGTTCTAAATCACTCACAGTTTGTAAAATGATAACGTGGCTTTATGTTTATAATGAATAATGCTGTAAAACTGAAGAATTTGGTCCTCTAGATTTCTGATTTTTCACCTTTCATTTTAATGGACAGGGAAGGTGACCAATCCTGAGTTTCAGCGCACTGAGATCCCTCATAGCTGTGGAGATATGTGTGGGAAAAAGAGGAGTGGAGGGGAATGCAATCACCCCTGTAACATGTAAGGGCCCAGCAGCACAATCAATGCATTTACATGGTTTTGGCTCAGGTTGAGTGACAATGATTGAAAAATACTAGTTGTTGTTGAGAAGTCTCTTGTAAACTCCTCGTAAGAAACGCATCTGGTAAACCTGAAACCATCTGAATCCGTGTATCATTCGATCATTCGTTTTTTGATTTAATATTGAAAATAGAAAAATGAGAAAACGGCTCTTTTTTTCCAAAAAACGAGAATTCAGCTTAAATTTACATTTTTTTGTTCATGGGTGGAAAAATGAATAAACAGCTTGAATATTAGATTTCTACATGTGGGCAGGAATTAAACGCCCCTTTCTGCTGATTGGTCAGCCGAAGATCAAACCGTGCCTTCATCGGTTCTTCTGCAGTATCACACAGCAGAATAATAGTCCTCCACTGCTGCAGTTGTACGGATTAATAACCCATTTAATCAATTTCAAATTTTTCATCAAACAAACAGACTAATGAATAGCTCGACACAACTCGTACCGGGCAGAGTCTAGACAGGTCTTTCTTCTGTGTAGACCAGCGGTTCTTAAAGTGATAGGGGGTCCAAGAAATAATTTGCTATAGCCTAAAATATTTCCAGACTGTAAAGTCGTTTTTTTTATCATGATACATAGGCCTACTGTGATTTATTCCAAAGTGACTTATATGTAATTTAATGTAATTATAATGCATTTAATGTAAAATCATCTAAATGAAGCCTTTTAAAAGACG